CTCCCTGGTTTTAGTGGAAGGAAGGGCTGGGTAACCACAACAGTACTTCGTGGAACCACCATGTAAAGTGGTAAGGAAACAGCTTCTCTGAAAACTTCAGGTTTTATTAAAAACACAAAATCCTCTGGAAAAAGTCTCAAGGAAGGAAAGTTTATGCAAATGACTCCGACTTTCCCCACTAAGATTCATTCCCCTTGCTTTTGGAATTCTCTCTTCCCCCAAACCTAGTCTATAGGGACCAGCTATTGTATCTTTCAAACTCAAGTCCAAGGAAGGACACAACCTCCTCCTATCTTTGGAGTCCCTCAGCCCAGCTGCTACCAGGAAAATAAAAGGGAGTGATCACAGGCTATATGAACAGCATAAAAAGAAGTGAACTTTCCTAAACTCCAGATGCTAAGCCAGACAGAGATCATCAAGGCCCACAGGTCCAGGGGCTGGCTAGGCAACTACTGTCTCTACCGGGTGGCCTCAGGTTTTTGTCTTGCCTCCTCAGCTAGTGCAAAGATGCCACCTTGCAAAGATGCAGCGTTGGAAATGACACAGATGAGGGGATCATTATTCAAAATGCAAGTGTTTGCATTTTGGAGCAATGAGCTGCCTAGAGGGGATACAAGGGGAAGAAAAAGTGCAGGCTCAATCCAAAGGCAGATTCTTATTTGTTAGAATCAAACACAAAGGTGGGGGGCAACTGAGTAATGATCACAGGGATGCAAGCCAGAGGGGAGTGACCAGGGGCTATTGCCTAGGGACTTCCCTTGAGCCTACTAGCCAGCATTTTCTCTCTATTGTCTATTCTTAGCTAACTTTCTGCTAATCCTTCAGGTATTTTTGCTCATTTTGTTAATCTGGCCACAATCTGCTGCTGTTTTCAGCAGATACTGGTTTCCCAGTATGTTCCTCATACCAGGCTTTGGTGAGAGGGCTCTTGCCTACCTGGCCAGCAAGAACTCTGGGTGCGGAGACCATAGCCCTGAGAACAAGGACGGTAGAGGAACCCACACAAGTCTGCTAATGTTTGTCTCTGGGGGAGCAATATCTCCTCCCCAAACGTCCCTACTTCCTTCTCTGCACAACGTGGTTTGTTAATTTTTCTAAATAATGTCATACATGCTCATAGTTGGATCAAAGAGAAATCCTAAGTTTACCACCAGCAAGAGGTAACCACTGTTATTCTGATTCCTTTTCCCAGCATTATCTAGTCGATGAAAGCATTTTGAGTTTGCCACTCTGGATTTCAATTCAATTCCCACATTCTACAGTTAAGAAAAACAGACTGCGAAGGGAGGAAACACCTTGCCTAGGGAAGCCGCTTGGAAAGTACAGCACAATTTCCTGCACTCTTACTACACTACTCTCTTAGATACATACTTAGTCCTAGGGCCAAATTGAATCGTCATTACCAAAGATACAGGGAAAATCTGCGATTCCTCTAGCGCCTTGGAACAAAGAATTGCTTGGGCGTAGCAACCGTTTCTTGTCTGCAACACGTGTCCATAGAAAGGAAATTCACTCAAATTCAACTCCCCTTCTGGCTTACCTCAAACTAATTACAGATAGCAGCAGGAAACCAAAGACGCAATCCAAACCGGGAACCTTCTCTCTTCACTCATGTTTCTACCCGAGTCCCAAAAAAAAACGGACCGGAAGTAGTGTGCGATCACGGGGGAGAGGCATCTGCGTACCTACACTGTAGTCGCGCTGGCCGGAAAAAGGAGGTGCAGCCCTTAAAAGTCTCCCCTTCTCGTGCTACATAGTGTTGTTTTTGCAGTTTTGCAGGGGCCTATCGGATAGCTTCTGCCGCCCTGGGCAGGTTGTGAGATGTCGGGCGGAGGCCGCTGCCCCGGCTGCGGGTCCACTGAGCTGGTGGAAGACTCGCATTACTCGCAGAGCCAGCTGGTGTGCTCCGACTGCGGCTGCGTGGTAACCGAAGGGACCCTGACCACCACCTTCAGCGACGAGGGCAACCTCCGAGGTACCTGTGCCAACCTTTCAGAGCCCTGGGGCCCGCCCGGTGTGGTAGCGGGATTGGCATCAGATGCCTCTAATCTGCTTTTCTTTCCTTGTCACATGTACATTTAGATACGGGGAAGACGTAAAGTGAGCTAGGGATACCATTCATTTGTGTTTTTGTAGCCCTTAGTACGGTAGCAGACATATATAGTAGGTCTAATAAATAAAGACAGAAACGACGTTCCGCTCGGTGTTCCTAGTCTGGTCACGGTGGACCACTTTACAAACACAGCACGTACTTTTACTCCGAAGTAATTTTTAGCACTGACTGGCTAAAACACCTTTTTCTTTTATTTTCTGAGACCGTGACCAGTTCAGTACTCAAAATCAGACGCCAGGAAAAAATTGCCCTTATTGAACTCGCACGAGAGACTGTCAAAAACTCTCGGAGCTGCTGTAGTGCAGTCCTGACCTCCTCAATCTCTGTGTATTTGATAATTTTCTTGCAGAAAAAACAGATGGCCCTTAAAGTGCATATACCTGAGCCTTCTGTGAGACCGGTAGCAGATGCCTAGTGACTTGACTTCTCCTTTGTGTGGTGGGAGGGCGCGGTTCCGGTGAATAATCGCTAAAAAGCTACTTGTCCATTGTCTTACAGAAGTAACATATTCCCGAAGCACAGGGGAAAATGAACAAGTTAGTCGCAGCCAGCAACGAGGTGAGATATGATCTTATATGTTTATATGTCATGGTGAACTGAAAGAAAATTCTGATGATCCAACCCATCTACTTGTTTTGCTGTTTCAGCATTGTTGTGTAAGATCTTGTAGAAGAGAACAGTAATTCGAAGTAAAGGATGGCTAAGAGAAGTAGCAATTTGTACAAAGTTTGTACTTGTTCAGGGGGTATATTTGCCATAGACTCAATGAGCCTACTTCAGAAGTTTGGATTGACTCAAATCAAAGCAGCCTCCAAAAACTGGTGGACTGAAATGTGATTTCTTTCTACAAATTTCTTCATGCCTTTAGAATGACCTCAGTGTTGCTCCATTCACTGTATGTTATAGAACGATGAGTTATTTGTGGATCTGGTATTGGCGGCAAGTTTAGCAGAAACTGATTGTAGCTGCACAAGTAGCAGCTTCAACCTCTGTAACTTTTGCTGTGGATTTTCGTAGGCCTCCGCCGAGTAAGAGACCTCTGTCGAGTTCTGCAGTTGCCACCAACATTTGAAGACACAGCAGTTGCCTACTACCAACAGGCATACCGACACTCTGGCATCCGGGCTGCGAGGCTGCAGAAAAAGGAGGTGTTGGTTGGGTGCTGTGTCTTAATCACTTGCCGGCAGCATAACTGGCCCCTGACCATGGGAACCATCTGTACCCTGTTGTATGCAGATTTGGATGTATTTTCTGGCACCTACATGCAGCTAGTGAAGCTTCTAGGACTGGATGTGCCATCTCTGTGCTTGGCGGACCTGGTGAAGACCTACTGCAGCAGGTATACTGTCTAGGAGGAAACACTGGATTGGGCCAGGTCCTTAAGCATAAATCCTTCTATCTTCAGCTACCTCTTTTTGACCAAAGCCCATCTAAAAGGTGTGGGAGAAAAACCTGTGCTCCCTTTCCTCTAATACATTTTACATGTATAGAATGATACAACTTTCAAATCCCTTTCCTCTCACAGCAACCTAATGATGTGGGTGTTAGCCTTGGCGCCAGGGCTGTCACACTGCTCATGTTGTGTGTGGCCTCTGAGACTGTATGCAACAGTCCTACTTTACTAAAATTGAATTGAAAGAATATTAGTCAATGACAAGGCCTAGAGTTTGAAACTAATTCTATTCAGCCTTTTTAAGTGGTTACATTCTATTCTTTTTCTGATGAATATATTAGGAAGCAAAAACTGTTGGTATCAAGTAGTCTGGAGCTTGCAGTTTGATCATTTCTTTGCTAGGTGACTGACAACCCACAACATTTCCAACTATAAATGTACACAACAGGGTGCAGAATAGACTAAAGGAAAACATTTGTAAAGGTCTCAGAAGAATAGCTGATGTGGGAGTGGTAAAGATACGTTGGCTCCTTTCTATATTCTTGTGCCCTTCACCCCACAAGCAGAAGGCTCACCCTGACTGCTCGCAGCCCCTGTATGACCTGCTGCTCAGCAAGCTTGGGTGTTCTGGAGGGGATAGAAAAGCTTCCCATAGTCATTGAAACCAGACCTTCATTTTGTTTGCTTCAGCTTCAAACTGTTCCAAGCCTCCCCCGCTGTGCCAGCCAAGTATGTGGAGGACAAAGAGAAGATGCTGTCACGAACACTGCAGTTGGTGGAGCTGGCAGACGAGACGTGGCTGGTCACCGGGCGGCATCCCTTGCCTGTGATCACTGCTGCGACTTTCCTGGCATGGCAGTCGCTGCAGCCTTCAGATCGTCTCACATGTTCCCTTGCCCGATTTTGTAAACTGGCCAATGTGGATCTGCCCTACCCTGCTTCCTCCCGCTTGCAAGAATTGCTGGCTGTGCTGCTGCAGATGGCAGAGCAGCTGCCCTGGTTGCAGGTTTTGAAACTTGACAAACGATCTGTGGTCAAGCACATCGATGACCTTCTCCAGCACCGCCACACGCTGGTCCGCAAGGCCTTTCGGGATGGAACCACAGAGCTGGAATCCCAGAAGGAGCCACAGGGACAGGGGCAAGGACAGGGAAAAGAGGAGGTGGGGAAGAGTGCCTTAGATTTGCCTGAGGGGAAGCGACCACCCAGTCCTACCCTTCTCCTTCCCCCCTGCATGTTGAAGCCTCCAAAGCGGGTCTGCCCCACACCCTCTGTCTCCACAGTCACTGGAGATGAGAACATTTCTGATAGTGAAATAGAGCAGTATTTACGTACCCCTCAGGAAGTGAGGGACTTTCAGAGAGCTCAAGCTGCTAGACAGGCTGCAGAAAATGCTCCTAACCCTCCATGACGTCCATTCAGTGGGGGTACCTTACCCCATTCTTACGGCAGTTTGATCAGAGGCCTGTCCTATCTAGAGAAATGAGTCTGTGTAAGTTCTTGTTTCTAGGAACTATTTCACTGTACCCCAGGCCCTAGAGTAACCGTTGGGGAACTCTGGGACAGGTGGCTTGGGAAGATTCCCATCCTTGGGTGTGAAAGAGCAAATTGCATATACGTTCATGTTCAGAGGGATGGCTTTCCTCTTTATATTACTGGGTGACTGTCAGGCTCTCCTGCTCCTGGTTTGAATTGGACACGCTGCCACTGCAGGCCTGATGAGGCCTCCCTGTAGGTATGGAGCAGGTGGCATTCCTACTACCAGCCCTGGGAGGAACTAGGGGCCTCTGGGCCTGTGTACATTTGCAGGTCCTGGTGGGTTTGTGGGTGGTGTCATGAGATCCTCTACCTCATAACAAAAGGACCGTGGGTGGACTAAGTTATAGCTTACAGGGTTTTCGCAAAATTTTAATATATTAAAACAAGAGGCATCTGCTAGAAAACATTCTATTGTATAAAACCCGAGCCTTTAAAAACATGTTTTCTTTGGCACTTTTCATCCCTTCCCTCCCCTTTCCCCAGCGTATTGCAAAAAGCTCTCCAGTGCTAAGGCATTGGCAGGGTATGTAAACAGCAGCCAGCGTATGTGGAAGAATAATACAAAGCTTTTTTTCCCCTCTGTCTAATATCGTCTGTGCAGCAAGCATAAATAACAGGACGCCTCTAGGCCTGTGGGTTTTCTCCTCATATCTTTTGCCTTGGTGATCAGGCTGTGGGGAGGAGAGGCATGGAGAATGGGAGGGGACCTGGCCCAGACCTAGTTTTCCTGTTCCCAAGCCCCAGGGTTCCCTCCACTTTCATTAGGTCCTTAGTAAATGGCTGGTGGTTGTTTTTAAATTGGGAAAAATAAATACCATGACTGGTATTTAAAAGTCCTGAGCCTTGGGCCCCAGGTGAGCTGCAGGGGCCCCACCCACTGCCTCAAGGGATTTGGCTTGGGCTTATATGAGGCAGGAAGCTGGTTTTGATGTTCGGGAGATTTCTCCCTAATATGGAGCTAGAGGCTCAAACTGGGGAGTGTTCTTCCATATGGCCTCATGGAGGCAGGGAAGTGCTCTTCCTCGGTTCCTTGTGTCCAGAGACTGGGACAGAAAGTGGATCTTGTAATCGAACAGTAAGTGCTTCTATACCGCCACCTGCGGCCTTGCCAAACCCTTGAGAGCAGTGTTTGTAGGACAGTTCAGCTCCAAACAGAAGCACTACTCTGCTCTCGTGTACATGGCAGAGTTGGCTGCGTAGGTAGAGGGCCTTGGCTTTGTCCTGCAGCGCCACCTCTAAGCCCTGCTGGGTAGTTTGTGTGCCAAGGGGAAGGGCATCCCACTGCACCTGTTTACACCTGCCCCTCTTCAGTGGACTAGTTCACCTTCAGAGCTGTCTTACACACTGCCCCCACTATCTCCTTTTGCATAGCTAATGAAAAGCAGCACCTTGTTAACTCCCAATGGTTCTGTCACCTGGCTCACCTGCTAGACTGGCTCCCTAGTTAGCCACCAGCTGGGGGGAGGCACTAGTCGGCATACCCACCTTCAGAGGGCAGTGAGAAGACAGTTCTCAAGCTGCCTTCCTGTGATGAGCTGGTTGAACCTCTGGGAGGCAGAGTGGGAGGATGTGGGGAGTACCTAGAAAGGAGCCCACCTGGGCTGGGCTGTGGCTGGCCACTCTACTGGCACTCCACAAACTACCAGAACCTCTCCCCAACTCTGAATGGCACTGACAACTTGACTGCCCAAACTAGCCAGGGCCGGGGCAGAAATGGCTCATGTCTGTAGTTCTGGGATTGTCTGTCGCTACCCCAGAGGAATGGCCCTTTGGGTAGTGATAGGCCTCTGCCTATCCTTTTCCTAACCTCTAGGACTAAAGCTGGTGAGCCCCTCGTGCAGCCGAGGGCACCTCTACGTCAAACCTGTGACGTACCGTCTTTGAGGGCCATAGAGAGGTCAGATAAGGCCAAGTGGCTGCCTGTCCTAAAGCGCCGCCCTCCCCCACCCTAGACGGTGGTCTCGCTCTTCCAGAGGCCGGTCTTCATGCAGCCGCCTCCAGCGGCCTCCGTGCCTGTCAAGGTGATGTCGTCGTACTTGCCCCCCTTGGGGGCACCGTTCAGACTGGCGGTGTTGAGCGGGTAAGAGCGGCGCTTGCTCTCCTCCAGCGCACCGCCCTTCAGATTGTCGCGACTGGCGCTGCGGCGCTGGCCTGGCCGGCCGGCCTCCGACAAGGGAGCCGCGCTGGTGTCGCTGCCCTCCGACGGCGTGAGCATGGGCTCGCCCTCGAGCTGAAGGCCGGCACCCGGGCTGTTACGGCTACTGCCGGGGTAGCTGTCGGATGGGCTGTTGTGCACGCTGCCGCTCTCGCTGGACAGCAGCTCGGGCACCCCAGCTGCCGCGCCCCCACGCAGGGCCTTGAGACGGTTCTTGCCTCCTGCCTCCCCGGCTCGGTGCCCCTTGGCCCGACTCTTGTGCACTCGGCGTCCGTGGTGCAAATTGTTGGGGTGGCGGGGGGTGAGGCTCCCCCGGGAGCCCGTAGGCTCCGGTTCCCCTTCCCCGCGGGCCACCACCCCCACCTCACACACCTGACTCTGGGCCAACTGCAGGTTGGTGAGTTTGCAGGGGCCCAGGGGCAGACCGTGGCCGCTGCTGCCGCTAGGGGAGGACTTGAGGGAAGGAGCGTCTCCGAACACTGGGGAACCGTCCTCGGGGGCAGCGGGCACAGCTCTGGGGGAGGCATGGGAGGCCGAGGCAGGGGGGCAGCAGGCACGCCAGGAGGCCCTAACGTCTCTGCGCCTGGCACAGTGGTGGGTGAAGATGAAGAGGCCTAGTGCAGAGGCTGCCACCCCATACAGACAGCTGCACACAACCCGGGGCAGCCAGCGCTGGGACACTGCCAGAGCCCCACAGGCCCACATGGCCAGGTATAGGAAGTGAGTGGTCACCAGCGCCCCCAGCTGGACGCCGGGAGAATAGAGACCATCGCCATCTTCCGGGGGCGCGGAGGATGCTACCACCCCGGTACTTCCAGTAGCCAGAAGAGAACCTGAGTCATTCAAGAGGGGGCCGCTGCTCCTGAGCCTGGTGGAACCCCTCAGTTCCTCCCCTGGCTCCAGGGAGACTCTATTGGTGCTCCCCTTTGGGCTCTGTGCCAGAGGACCCCTTAAGCGCAGCCCTGCACACAGGAAATAGATCCAGGTGATCAGCAGAATCAAAGCCACGGGGATGTAGAAGGCTCCTAGGCTTGGACGCCACACCAGCCAGCAGCTGAGGGGAGACACATGCAATGGATGAGGAGGGGGAGCATCTTTGAGGAGGCCAATAGGTTGGGTAGTTGGGGAGATCGGTTATGGTGTGTGGAGAGGCAGAGACATGCATGGACGTGAGTTGGCTCACTGGCTGGGTGGGCCTGGGAGGTGCCCCTGCCAGTAGAAGACTCCTGGCACCCAGTGGATAGGTTCAGGGCAAGCAGTAGCAGCGCTCACTAGGGGCTGTGGTCCCGGTAGTTGTGGATGTTGACAGCAGCTGTGATGCCACAGATAATGAGTGGGATCCCTCCAGCAATCAAATAGAACCTGGGGAGGAATGGGGTTTGGGGGTCAGAGGTGACAAACCAGGAGGGGAGGTCTAGGTGCTCAGAACCCTCAGGGTCTCTGCTCCATCCTCTTTTGCCTTTAAATTTTGTCAAAAGTTTTTGCTGGGGATTCCAGGCCACTCTGGCAGGCCCAGCAGGTCCCTATGGGATGTGGCTGGGAGTGTTTTATGGGACAGAGGCCAGAACTGCCCTTTCTTATTCTAAATAGTGTAGGAGTTAGGGCTGCCACGCAGGGCCCTGGGAGCCCTGCCTAGTGCCTTTTGAAGGCATTTCCTTCCCTGGCTCTGTCATGTCTGAAAATCTCTAAGGATATGCCTACTTCGTGCCACATAGGCCTGGGCTTTTGTGTCTCTGGAGAGTGATCTCTTAGGACCTCAGCCCCATCCTGCATCCACCCTGGAAGAACATATATACAGGACCCTTCCTGCGTTCCCCTCCCCCCCCCGCAAGCCCTTCTCCACTGCAAAGCTGTCAATTGGAAACATGTACCGGAGCATAGGACGGGGAGCTGGTGGGGTAGAGTCCCCTTCTTGTGGAGGGGGTGCTCTCCAGGTGAGCTCCTTGTGGAGGACACGGGCCTTCACTCCCATCCAGAGCAGTGTGGACAGAGAGGAGTAGTGCAGAGTGATGCCCACCTGTGGGGTCAGGTCACTGAAATTGGGGGACCCAACTGCCACCACCAGGACCATCTTAGAGTCTCAGCCCACTGAGACTCAGAGTTCGCCCACTCCCCACGTCTCCACCCAGATCCCACCCAGATCCTCTCCAAGGTTCTGTCCCTGCTCTCACCCTCTCTATGCTACCCTGGGTTTTTCTCCCACTTGGGGAATTCTCTGTGACCCTGTTACTACCTTGCTCATCCTTCCATCGCAGGTTACCACTGTCCTAGTTTTACTGCTCCTGACACCCCATTCTCTTGCCTCCCGCCCCCCATAAGGCAGAACACAGAACTGTGGAGCTGTGCCTATAAGCCTGAACCCCCCTTTTCTCTTCTTCTCTACCTCCCTACTCTAACATAAGTTACCAACACTCATTTTGGCCCCGCTGTCGCCCCATCACCACCCAGCCCCTTCTGCTTACCGCCTGGCAGACCATCCTATAGTTGGTGAGGGTGATGCCCCCTGCAAAGACTGCGGAGGTCATGGCCATGTGGAAGCACAAGTTCAGCAGCATGTGCCAGCCCTTCCGGGACACGTGGATGGAGCTACTCCAGAAACAGATACGAACAGTAACAGTTGGGTTACCCAAGGTCAGGCCCTTGGGGTCTCAAGGCCATTGGGGTATCTGCCAAAGGGAGAGGGCAGATATCCATGTGCATGCAGGTGGTGGTATGTGTGCAAATGTGATAGAGGACCCGGGGCAGGAAGGACTTGACCCCTAAAATGTGTTTTCCAACCCCAGAACCGGCCAGCAAATAACTAGGCAATAGCCTGGGCAAGGCCCAGGCCCCAGCTGGGAAAGGCGCTTAATCAGAACTTAGTGAGACCCGTGGCCTCCCTGCTGGGCCCTCCCTCCCCACCGCAGTGCCCACCTGTGGTTGAGGATGTAGGTGATGATGGTGGAGAAGAGGCAGAGCAGCAGCAGGGCTGTACAGGGGTACACGACTGGATGAAGCCCTGCCCCCGAGCCCCCTACCTCCCTGGGGAAAGCACTCAGCTCCTGGCAAGAGGAGGAAAAGGAAGTGAGGACTGGGGAGCCAGAGCAGAGGCTGAGCATCAGAGTCCTGGCCTGACTCCTTGGTTCCTGAAAGGTGAAAAGGGGTGGGGGGACCTGAGGGGTACTTCCCCATGGGTCCTGACAACAGGGAGGCCTGAGAGGCTGTTCTTTCTGTATTTCTCTGTGGCCCCAGGGGGTCACAGTCCTCTGCCCCCGCCTGGTATAGTCCTTCCTGCCTTGCTGTGTTCCCCCCAGTCCCACCACACTCACCATGAGCACAGCCACATTGCCCAAGTGCTGGCAGTGCAGAGAGCTGGCTTTGGGCTGGCTGGATCGGAGCTGGCAGCCCTCAAAGCTCCAGCCCCCAGGCCCCCCGGGCCCCTCCTGGCTCCACCAAGCTGCCACAGGTTCCGCCCCCTCGGCCCAGTGCCGCAGTGACACGGCCACCGGCTCTGTTAGGTTTCCCACGCCACAGCCACCTGCGGGGAGAAGGAAGGCCACACAGATAGGCCCCAGGCCAGCTTGCATTGAACACCCACCCAGCAGGGCATTGCACTGGCCTTGGGGGTGTGGTCTTATGTCAGCCAGGGCCTCAGTCTAATGGGGAGACACAGGATGAATCAAAACACAAGTAAATACTTGGCTCTTGCCCCGTGAGCGGTGGGCCCTAAACGAGAGGGCGCTGGGAGGGGATATTCAGGGTCAATAAAGGAGAGGTAATAGCGAGGGAGGAAAGCTTAGGTGTAGAAAGGACTCAGGGAGGGTAGGTAGGCTGATACCCGGCTGAGCCCGTTGGGATGGAGCGAGGCCCGGTGGGTGGAGGGTCTGCATACACAGCCCTTTCTCTTCCCCATTTTCCCTGAAAGGGGCGAGGGCACACTCCCCCCACCCTCCCCCACACTGCCAACTCCGTCCGGGGCATTAGGGGGCGCTGTGGGCAAGGGAAGGGCAGGATGAAGGGAGGACCCAGTAAGATGTGGGGAGTTCATTCCCTTACTGGTTCCTGCAAAGATGACCGGAGTGGCCACCCCACGCCTCTTGCCAGGCCCAGCAGCTCCAGGGCGAGAGGTGTTGCCGTGGCTGCGGAAGAGGCGGCCATTTCGGAAAACGAGCAGTTGCAGGGTGCAGTCTGGGGAAACTGGGGGAGCCAGGGCAGCCGGAAGAGATGAGAACAGACTGGGCGGCAGCTGGATGGAGGCCAGGGCCACGCTGTTCTGGGGGGACATAGGAGTTCCTCAGGGACACCCAGGATCCACTGCGGTGCCCCCCCTCCCATTCGCCCACCCTCTTATCTGGGTTCTGCTTCCTCTCACCACCCCCACCCCCACCCAGCACCTGCATCTCAGCACCTTTCCTCTTAGCAACATCCTGTCCTCTCTGCCCCTACCCCCAGCGCCCACCTTGATGTGGAAAGACGACAGAGAAATGTTGGGTCTCCCGGTGGTGCAGCGGAAGCGGAGCTGCTGATCGGCCAGTGGTTCCGGCTCCAGGGACAGATGGCGGCCAGAGCCGCCGGGCCGAGCGGCCAGCACTCCTGCCTCCCTCCTCTGGTAGGCTGTGCAGGTCAGGCCCACGTAGCTGTGGGGCTTGATGAGGTAGGCCTCCAACGCCACGTTCCTTGAGTTCTGGGAACAGGGAACTTGTCACTCCACCGTTTGGGACTTGGCGCCATGGCTTGGCCTTCTCCTGCTGGACGCTGCACAGCCCCTTTTTGGAGATTTGTCCCTCTTCCTTTAGTCCTCCCTGTCTTCTCCAGGCTTGGTGGTTTGACATCTGCCAAGGGGTCTCCTTTTCCTTCTTCCTCAGGCCCTTGCTCCTGCTCACTAACTTGCTTGCTCTTGGCTCATACCAGTTTTGCTGCCCCAACTCAGTAGGAGAGCAGGGTGCATGTTCAAATTCCTCCGTCCCCCAAAGGATCAGAGGCTCTGCTGTGGCGGGTAACTGGCTCGCGAGGCCTCCACCATCAGAAATGTCACCCTCATCTCTGGGAACCGAAGTCAACACCACTGTTCTGCCCCTGCCCAACCAGCCTTCCTCCGCTTCCTTCTTCCTTACACTTTTACTCCCACCAGGCTAGCCTTCAACACGATTCCCTCCCTGCCTTATCCAGCATTAGCTCTCCCTCCTTGCCACACTGCCCCAACCTGAATTCGATTGCACACAACCCGGAATTTAGCCACACTCAGTTTTCTCGGCAGCCGGGTGCCTGGAGCTTGCTATCTGAGAGACATGTTTCTTTTCCGGGCGACCGGGGAAGCCTCTGTCCACTTTAAGCTCCCTCCTAGTGCTAAGCCCCACCCCCCGGAGCTCCCATCCAGCTGACCCCCTTTACCACAGAGATGTGCTGGGCATGAGGGCTCAGGGCAGCACCTCCAATTCTCTCCAGGGCACCCACAATACCGCTGCACGCCTTGTCCTCGCGCTGGGCCAGCCACAGCAGGTGCTCGTCCACTAGCATCAGGTTGCTGGCCATGTCCACCATCACTTCCACCAGCTGGGATGGGCAAAGGAGTCACTGAGGGCAGCAGTGGGGTTTGGGCCGCAGAGGTTGGGGCACGAGAAGCTTGAACAAATGAGGCGGGCAGGAGAAGGAGAGGGGGAGGGCCCCAGGGTCAACTGGCAGAGGCCCAGTTGAATCTCACCTCTTTGATCTGGTCAACATAACCCAAAAATTTCTGGATCATCTGAGCCACATAGACTACATCCATCATGTCTGAGAAGCTGGCAGCCTCAGCTGTGTACACTCGCAGCTGGTGGGCCAGGGTCAAAGCGTTGGAGGCGTTGATGGGCATCTGGGGGTGTAGGGGGAAGAAAAAGGATCTTCCAGACCTGCTCCTTCTCTCTGAGAACTGCCCCTAGGGGGCCCCCTCCTCTGTGCTGACGCAGGGCGGCAGAGGCTGGAGAGGTGTCTAGCCTACCAGCTGGGTCTAATCAAGACAGGAGGGTGTATGTGGCAATGAGCTCATCACAGCTCAAGGCTGCTGGCTCCCAGCGCCACTGGCCTGAGGACAATGGGACGCCCTGGTGCGCTCCCTGTTCTCCCCTTTAAGGCCATCCTTGATGTGCTGGGGAATAAAGATGCTGGAGTCCACACTTCCCTGGTGTGGCCTCTGTAGGTCTGAATTCACTGGGAGGAAGGCTGGAGAGGGAGCCCGGATGCAGCCCCACGGCCCCTTACTGTGCATCCAAGGAGCACCCTAGAGGGAAGTGTCCCTGAGACCCTCCCCTGTGGAGACAAGGGCTTCTTCCCTTGCTGTTCCTGGAACCAGAGCCAATGGGTTGCCCCTGTTCCCTCCTCTCCTGGCCTCACCAGCACGAAGGTATAGAGCACCCGGGTGATGTCGTTGGTGTACAGACAGTGGGAGTAGTCCCCGGGCTCCCAGCGGCCAGCTCGGTCACAACGGCGGGAAGCTCGGGTGCCCGGGGCGCCCCCACTCAGGGGCACCGAGGTGAAGGGGTACTGTAGGCAGGACTGGTAGGCTGTGATACCAGCCAGAGTTCGAGGCCACCTGCAGGCAGAGGTAGAAGGTGGAGGTAAACCAGGCCCCTCAGGGCAAAGGTCCTTCCCTCAACTAGAACTCTGATGCTTGCTCTTGGTGCAGAAGGGTCCAGAAGGGGGAAGGGGTGGGGATTGGACAGTTCTTCAGGCTCCCAAACTCTGCCGTCTTTTAGCTCTGTTCAGGTAGTGCTGTCACTGGGCCCTGGATATGTTTATCTGTACAGTGGGGGGAATAATTCCTCCCCTGCCTAAATGGTCGCTGGGTGGCTAGGATATTAAAATGGGATATTCTTCGATTGGAGAGCTTTGTAAACTATTAATGAAGGAAGAAATGAACATCTTTTTGATCTCTGCAGCACTTCTTAGATGGTGATTTTATAAAAAAGATAAGGTCCCCCCACAACAGTGGGATTTGGCGGTGAGTGACAAGGATGTGTTTTCTCCATATTTGGGACGCAGGTCCCAGATGGGGAGATCTTGGTCACTGTCTCAGAAGTGGGGTAGGGGGCTGGAGACAGTTTAGGGACAGTGCCGGGTGTGGGGGGGCAGCAGAACAGACAAACCTGAAGTCCCCGCGGTTGTTGGCCACGCGCTCAGCAGGGCAGTAGGAGGCGGAGGTCTCCAGCACCACAATCTCCACCTTCTTGCTGGCATTGCCCTGGACCGTGGACACGGAGCACTCCCATTCGCCCGAGGCCCACACGCCGATGTGAGACAGGGTCAGCTCACTGCAGGCGGGCGGCGGAGGGCTGGCTGGGCGAGGCACTCTGGGGGGCCACCCTCCCTGCTGCCCGGCCTGGCCCCCCAAGGCACCCCACACAAGGGCCTGCAGGGCACCAGCTTTAGATTCTTTTTTGATCTTTAATCAGGGGTATAAGTACATACTCCTTTAATTCTGATTAACCTTATGATATTGCTTTTCTGAGCTCCAATTTCTCCATCTTTATCATGGAGCTAATAATACCACTGTTTGCAGGTCTAATAGAGAAATTAAATCCAATAAGAGAGGTGAGAGCTGCAGTGAGGGCCCTCCCCCTTCTCCTTCTCCTGCCCTCCTCCTTTGTTGAAGCTTCTTGTGCCCCAGCCTCTAGATCCCAAACCTCACTGCTGCCCTCAGCTCACTTGTCACCTCAAGAGGTGAGAGATACATCGTAAAGGCACTAAAGAAACGTGAGACAGTATAATCATTTTTTCCTTGTCAAATGGTTAATTTCTATCCTCTGTCCAGACCATTCATGACTTAGCCCTAGATTTCCGTGCATACACACACACACATCTTTACACACGTGAACACACTAAGGAACACGTGTGGACATGACTCTCTTGGGGGGTGGGTGATGGTGCTACCACCCATCCCACCCTGTGCCATGGCTGGGAGGGGGCAGCAGACCAGTTACCTGGTGATGAAGGTGCAGTCATGGATGAGACTCTCGGCCAGGAGGATGCCTGCCTGCTCATCACCCTCCACTGGGGCCCGGTTGTGGTACCAGCGGATGCGGGTGTCGTTGCTCAGGTAGCTGGCGGAACACTGGAAGGGCAGCCGGTCGCCCTGGAACACCACTTGGCGTAGGGACGGGATGAGGTGGTGTGTGTGCAGCTCCAGGGCCCCCTCTGTGGGAGGTGACACTGCTGATGAGACTCGAGTGCCCGGGATTATGGGAGAACTCCGTAGGGCGGGGGCCTGGCCCCTCCACGTGGAGCCTGGCATCAGTTGGGAAGGAAGACCGGGAAGAGAAAGCCTCCAGGGTAAGATAGGCTTTGTTAAATAAATGGTTCCTTTCCACAGCTCACTCGTCACCTCAAGAGGTAGGAACAGATGAAAACATAAACTAAGAAGCAGCCCAGAGAAAAGTTTAGAACTGAGGGAGGGCAGCCCCCAGTGCGGCCGGGACAGGCTGCTCGGAAGAACATGTCCACCCCTAGTAACACTCAAGGCAGAGCAAGTGGGGGGCCTTCAGGAGGAGTCTGGGACTCGAGGGGCAGGCAGGGCTGTGTTAGGTAGGGTAGCGGCTTGCTCACCGCAGCGGAGCTGGGCCTCCTGTAGGCCACCCACGGCCTGGGCATGTAGGGCGCTGGGGTAGGCACAGAGTGTACGATCCGACAGCTGCAGGGATTGATTCCGGGCCCAGGACAGCAGCCATTGCAGGTGGCAGTCACACGTCAGGAACTCGGTGCCGAAGTCCCTGCAGAGTGGGTAGAGGAGCCAGTGACTAGTGTGTGTGTGTGTGGGGGGGGGGGGTGCAGGCTGCATAGGCTGGGAGTGGAGCCCCAGGAAGGGACAGAGCAGAGGGGGCAAGCTTGGGTGTGTGTGCATCACCACCACTGCCACAATCCCGGGAAGGTGAGCAGGTGGTGACTCAGCCACTGCCAGTCCTGCCTACTTGGAAGTAAGTGACGGTCAGGAGATCTCCCTCCTGGGCAGAGGAAGGGAGCAGGGATCTGAGGCTGGGAAAAGATACTCACACAACCTTAAGGGCTGGCAGTTCATCAAAAACCCCAGGCTGCAGGCTGGAGAAGATGTTTCCAGAGATGTTTCTGTAGGGAGCAGGACACACTGAGATAGGACCTTAGGATCTCCTGAGGCCAGAGAAGGCAGGCGGGGAGTGAAGAGCATGCAAGGATCCACCATAGGTTGGTGCTCTCTTCTTCCTCCCCAGCCCTCCTTGGGGTGAGCTTTCCCTTTCCCCTTCGCCCTCGCCACCCCTCACTCACAGTCGGAGAAGCCTGGGGAGGCCTTGGAAGGTCTCTGAGGTGAGACAGCCAATCCGGTTGTTGGAGAGGTCTCTAGAGATACACACACAACCTCAGCGAGTCGGCCACATGGCAATGCAAGGGTCCCCGCATGCAGGACATGCATGTGGCTGGGGTTTGTGTGGGGAGTGGGATGAAACAGGAGATGGGTGGAAACGGTCACTGTTTGATCCCAGTCAATCTGCACATGGGGAGAAGGGCAGCTGGTGGAGGAGAGCAGGGGTAGTGGGGTGACGAGGACGGTGGGTGCATATGGGAGCTGGGTGGATTTTCCCCAGGAAGCAGGGGAGGGCTGGAAGGTTTGGGGACACAGGGCATGTCACTCACAGGCGCTTTAACTCCCCCAGACCCAGGAAGGCACCAGGCTGCACTGTGCTGATGACGTTGTTCCTCAGGTCCCTGTGGGAGGCAAGTGGGAAGTCTCTCACACCTCTTCCCTGTAGGGGCCCACACCACTGCCCGGGACCTGGCCTCACTGTCAGCAGCATGGGAAGCTTGAGTTCCTAGTAAATCCCACACTCCTCAGTGCTAGTTCGGAGGCTGATGGTGAAGGTTGCCCCTAGACAGACACTACCAAGAGGTACTGGCCAGAGAGACACACCGGAGATGCCCAGAGAGCCTGGGAAGGCCTCAGAGCACATTCCACTTCCTTCCACATCCCAGGAACAGTCCTGAACATCCCCCAGGGCTGTTGAGAATCATTTGAAGGTCTTTTGTGAATATCTATACAAAGGAAGACTCTTGAGCCTGGCTACAGAGGGTGTTTGTACAGCTTCCTGTCCCTCTGGAGTTTTTCATGTGACAGGTGAGGAAGCAGGCCAGATGGTGCTTGATGGTCACTGGATGCTCACCTGGATCTCCAAGCAGGCCAGATGGTGCTTGTGGCCACCTGGACCTGCCCCTCATTCTTCAGAGGAGGATTGAGGTTGAGAGGGTCTACCCACCTACCTCCCTCTCCCTCTGCCCCCCACCCTCCAGGGTCTCCACAGTGCTGAGTGAAGGTGGCAAAGGAAGCAGCACTTCTGGGCTGAGCTCAGCAGGACTGGACAGGAGATGGCAGTACCCCCAGGGCTTCCTGGAGCCAAGAGCCACCAACCTTGAGGTGTGATTACAGGCAAGTTGTTAGAGTAGCTTCTGTCTCAAGGTGCCTACTGAGGACCCTCTGGTGCCCAGTAGGCCCCCAGCTCAACACCAGACTGGCAGCTCTGTCGAACTGCTGAGGACCTGGGTAAGTGCTGGTGCACTGGCTTTCTCATTCACGTCCTGTCTTTGGGCATAGCAAGGGGAGAAGTGCCCAGATGACCAAGGGTTCCTGAGCTCCGTCACTGAGGCTCCACAGAGTAGCTAACCTGGAGACTTTGCTGCTCAGCCGGTCTCCCATCCTGGGATGCAGGGAGGGGGCTGCAATCCCTGCTTGCTCCCTGAGTGTTAATATCCACTGAACCCCCACCCTGGCACCCACGAATCCATGAGGCAGAGTGAGGATGGGGACTCCTGCAGACAAACTGTCAGAAGGGGCTGTGGCAGGAAGAAGAGCAGTAGAACTGTGTTGGGTTAACATGGTTTCCAAGGTCCTGCTCCCCGCTGGGTCAGATGAGCTCCTGGCTCTAACTGCCAAAACCTCAGGACATGTCTGGGTTATGGGCAGGAGGGGGTTAACTAAGCCAGCTCCCTGCTGGGGAGAGAGGAAATGGGTGTCCAGGATGGGGAGGTGCCGTTCCACCAGGGGGCCTGTTTTTGAACAGACAGTCTCACTTGGGGACATAAACATGAGTGGAGGAGGGGGGAGAGAGAATGAGAATTCTCTGCTGAGCCTCATCCATGGCCAAGGGTTCTGAGACCTCAGCAGCCTTTCATCTAAGGGCTACAAGGTCCTGAGTCCCTTGAGAAAGAAAGGACAGGCACTAGAAGGGGCCAGCTTCTTAGAGGGGTGGCTTCTGTACTCAGGGGTACAGGAATGCTGCCCCATTGCCGGTGGGCTCAGGAATCGTGGAATCCGAAGACCCCAGAATACTCAGGCAGAGTGGAGCCAGAGACAGCCGGATGAGTGCCCCGCCTACTCAGGGTTGCCCTTCCAGCCCATCTCCCCCTTTTGCAGCCCAGACCCCCCTCCCCCCGCAAGGCCCCCCTCCTATGCTATTCTAGCATGTGCCCCCTGGCCCCTGTTGGGGTCTGCCCATTCTCAGGGCTCTGCCTTCCACCCCCACACAGGGGACGGGCAGAGGGAAACACATTCCTCATTGTGTCACTTCCCTTCATGGGCTGCCAAGGGGTTGGGGCCACAGCCCCCCGCCCCTTCCCTCTCCGCTCACTTGTGTTTATTCTCATTTCCTCCCCGCCCCCCCCCAGAACCCCCACCCCCACTGATGCTCTGCAGATGGGAGCAAGGCGGTCGCTTGGGCCCCAGCCGTTTCCTGCCCTGGATTTCCTGCGGCCCAAAGCCATGCCGGGGCCTTCTGAGAGGGGAGCTGCCACCACGTGTTGGCATTCTTTCCCCCTTGCCTCATACCAGTAGAATGGCATAGGGTGCCAGAGGTGACTACTCTAGCGTCCTCAGTCGTACAGTGGCTCCCAGGCCCTCTCCTGAGGGGCACAGACCAGGTCCCTGTGCTGAGTTCTGACAGCTGGGTGGTCTGGCTCGTGGGCAGCCCATGCCTCATGGTCCCTAAGGTAAGGGAAGCAGCTCCAGCAGGCCCAGGGCTGGACCCACCTCAGAGCAGGAGGAAATACCACCAAAGAATTTAGCTACATTTTGGACTGACCAGGACCCTATCTGTCATCAGGTCTATACCTATCTAGCTTAGAGCATCCTTGGAAATCTGGTGAAGGCTCCAGAACTATTGCCATATCCAAGATTGTGCATATAGTTTTAGGGGACTGTGCAACCCAGGTTGCAAAGGTTTACTAAGGTTTATCTAATCTGATGCCCTCATTTCTTAGGTGAGGTCATGAGGACACACAGATAGTTCACTGCTATGCAACCTCTGGTCCCCTGCCTCCTTCCACAGAGCCTTGGTCTTGGAACCTGGAAAAGACACAGTGAATGAAGGAGCTTCCCCTCCCTCGTCTCCCTCACCAACCCAGACCAAGTTCCCTCCACTCTGGTCATACATGGCTCTCTCCTAGAATCTATGTTAATATGGAAGAGAAGAGTCCTGGAAGGCAGAAGCTGAGGGTGAGGGGGGGCCCTGGGAGCAAATCAGATCCTATGCCCTTTCTTGGGAAAATAGAGCTCAAGGAAGCTAAGTATGCAGACACGTGGGTGTGTCCAAGCAATAACAGAGACTGATAAGTCGAACATAATAAAAATTGAAAACTTTTGCTCTTTAAAAGACACTGTCAAGAAAGTGAAAGGCAACCCATGGAGAAAAAATATTCAAACCATATATCCAGTAAAGGGCTGGGTATATAAAGGAGACATACAGCTCAAATTATCCAGCTGACAAAATGGATAACAGATTTACAATGCATTTCTTTAAAGAAGGTAGACAAATGAGCAGTTAATGCATGAGATTCAACACCATTAGTCATTCAGGAATTGCAAATCACAACCACGATGAGACACCACTTCACCTGGACTAAGATGGTATAATAAAAAAGGCAGTAAGAGCAAGTATTGGTGCAGATGTGGAGAGGTTGCAATGCTTTAACAATAGTGGTGGGAGCAGAAAATGGTGTGATCACTTTGGAAAACAGTTTTGTGATCCAGCAAATCTACTCCTCAGTAAGCATCCACAAGAAGTCAACATACACACAACTTCTCTTTCAGGAACGTTCAGAGTAGCACTACTCATAACAAGCTGAAAAGTGGAGACACTCCAAAGCCCACTAACTGGTGAATAAATACACAACATGTAGTATACAATGGAATATTATTTGGCCATAAAAAGAGACGAAGTGCTGATACCTGCTATAATACAGATGGGCTTGGGAAACATGGTGCGTGAAAGAACACAGTTACAAAAGATGACTAGTTACACGATTCTGGTTATAGGAAATGTTCGGAATAGGCTCTCCTATAGAGACAGCAAGTAGATTAGCAGTTGCTTGGGGCTGGGAAATAAGGGTTGGAGGAAGGGGAGTGACTGCTAATGATTCAAGTTTTCTTTTGGAGATGATGAAAATCTTCTAAAATTAGATAATGATGATGATTGCTTAACTGTGTAAATAAACTAAAACCATTGGATCATACACTTTAAATGGGTGAACTTTATGGTATGTAAATTATATCTCACCAAAGTTGTTAAAAGAGTGAGTGTGTGAGTGTGCATGACAGTGAGCCTGGGTGTGTGAGTGTGTACACACATTTGAACAGGGTGGGGTGGCACGGAGTTGGCTCCTTCTGGTCCCCACAGACCTCCCTGCTCATGGGTTTGAAAACCAAATTATAGGTTAGGAGGCCGCAGAGCAGATTTCCCAGCCCTCCAGGACTTCCAGGGTTCTTTAGAAATCGAGGGTTGGCTGAACAGTGGTCAGAACACCCCCCAGGTAGGTTGCCAGGGAGGAGGAGAGGTTCTGAAGGCCAGAGAGAATCCTAGATGGTCAAGCCAACCTCCCACTCCCCTGCCCTCCCACTCCCAGGCCCTTCTTGTCTGATGTCTGACAGGTTATTAATTGAGCACATACACTGTGCCAGATTGGGGCTACAATAGCAAGCAAGGGCTCTCCCGGAACACATAGGCCTCCCTTTCCTGGCCCTCAGCTGGTCAGCCTAGGGCAGCCTGTGTGCCAGATTCCTCACAGAGTCAGCAAGGGAGAGAAAGGGAGGGGGGATGGAGCTCAGCTGCCTTACCCTTGGCCCCACCCACAGATTAATGGAAACCACCTGGTGGGTGAGCTTGCTCCACCCACTGCCCCCACTTGCTATCACTCCCATGAGCATCTGCTTCTAATGAGTGCCCCAGCACTGCTGCATACCAGCCCCCGGGGCTCATTAATCTCATTAGGCAATGACAAATCATCCTGGGGCTGACCAGGCTTCCCTCCCTGGGCCCATCCCTCCCAATGCACAAGCCTCTGGGGGTGTGTGTCTCCACAGAGCCACACAGGCCCACACGCATGCCTGCCCAGACTCCTCCATCTCCTCTGCATGCAGAAAAGCTCTGTGGCCGTCTTGGTTCCAGGCCTGGGGGCTTCCCACTGTGATCGGGTGCTCCCAGGGCCCTGGAAAGTCTGGGGTCTTGCTCCCTAATGAATGCAGTGGTGTTGGGGGGGGGGAGTCTGGGCAGGAACAGGAGGGACCAGAGGATAAGCCATCAGCCAGGACTTTTGGACTCGTGTATTTCAACTACATAACTGCCTGCCCATGTCTGGGAGCTCCGCTAATGCTACCCAGTGGGTGGTGTTGGCTCCCACATCTTGTAAGTTAGAATTTTTTGAGAAGGAATGGTTATTTATTAAAAGCTCACACCTGAGCTCTCCCTGGTGGCGCAAATGGTTAAAGCGCAGCACTATGAAGCAATCTGCAGCCACTACAGCATAAGCTCCATTCTCAGCCAGGGAGATGACCCACATGGTATGGCCCACCTTGCCTGGCCCACCCACTGCTCTCCTCAGCAGTGTATTTCAGTAGATCTGCCTGTTCTGCGCCCCACGCTGTCTCTGGTGAATCTTCTCACCACCCCTATGCCTCTGGCCTGTACCCTACCTCTGTATCAATAAATAAATCTTTGGGGAAAAAGCCCACGCCTTCCCAGTCTCTCTTCTCAATGAACTCATCTCTCCATGACCACCTGATGGGGAATCATTCACTGCTCCATTCTCCAGGGGAGGAACAGAGACTTGGACAGCCAGCCAGGAGGTAAATGAGAAGTGGAATTCAACCCTGGGGCTCTTTTTACTCCAAAGTGGAGTCCTATATCATCACCAGGCCTCCCCAAACCTAAACTTTTCCCTCTAGGCCACAAACCGCTTTTCTCTGCTGAGCAGTAGCAGTACAGTGGAGAGTGGGGGGCGGGAGGGGGGCACAGAGGAGTGGGTGGGACAGAGAGGAGGGTGGGGGATATAGAGGGGAGGTGGGGAGATACAGAAGGAAGTGTGGGGGATACAGACCCTTACTTTGCATTCTTTTGCTGGCTTCAGGGCCAGCCCTGAAAAAAAGGGGATCAAACAAGCCTACTCCCTCCCATTTACAGATGACCCCTCTCAGAGGTCAGAGGGTGTTTAGCTCCAGGAGGCCATGTGTTTTCTGGAGCAGCCCGGATCTACTAATTCAGTCTTAGACCAGACCCCAGTCCTCCCACAGGACTTACTCCTTATGGGCTGTGGGATGTGAAGCTGCCATGAGCTCGGCTGCCGGAGCCTGGATGCCTGAGCTGAACAGGACAGAGAGATCAGTGTTTCCTAGTACCAACTGTACGCCAGGCCACAGCGTCTTGTTTGTGATGAATAGGCCCACAGTCTAGGGGTCATCTGGTCTACTGGTTCCCAATCCCAGATGAACATGAAAATTGCCTACATACCTTGTAAAAAGTTCCCAGGCCCTTTCCACCGACCTGACGAATTAGCATCTCTCTGACAGGCCTGAGATGCCCCTACCCCTGGTACACTTATCAGAAGGGTGAGTTGTATATGTCCCCTAGCCAGCACTCACTGATGTCATCAAATTCTAACTTAGCCTCCTGGAGGAGATGTGGTTAACATCTACAATAGGGCAACTTTTTTTTTTTTTTGAGATTTATTTATATATGCATACGAGAACTGGGGTACAGTCAGCCGGGGAGCTGACCCACATGGTGCAGCAGATCTCTCCTGTCTCCTCTTCTGCTCCCCTCAGCAGTGTGTTTCAGTCAATCTGCCTATTCTGCTCCCCACTCTGTCTCTGGTGAATCCTCTCATTCGGCCCCACACCTCTGGCCTGTATCCTGATTATCGTATTCATAAATAAATAAATCTTAAAAAAAAGAACAGGAGTACAAACCAAGGTATGGGGGTGTATGTGTGTGTGAGAGAATTTACCAGAGACAGAGTGGGGAGCAGAACAGGCAGATTGACTGAAACACACTGCTGAGGGGAGCAGCAGGTGAGAGAGAAAGTCTGCTACGCCATGTGGATCAGCTCCCTGGCCATGTGAGTCACCTCCCTGCCATGTGGGTCACCTCCCCGGTGGCCATGTGGGCCACCTCCCTGGTATGGGTCAAACTCATGCTACAATGACTGGGATAGCCTCACAGTGCTGCGCTTTAACCCCTGGGACCACCAGGGAGGCCCCTATGATCAGTTAACTTTAAATAAAGGTGATTACGTTCGAGAGTATGGGTGGGCCTTGGCTGACCATCTGAAGGCCTTAAGAGCTAAAACAGGTTTCCTAGAGAAGAAATTCTACTCTCAAGACTGCAGCATCAATTCCCTCCTGACTCTAGCCTGCTGGCCTGTCTACAAGTTGCAGATTTGCCAGCCCCCACAATCTTATGAGTCATTTCCTTAAAATAAATTTCTTTATTAAAGAAGTAAAATAGCCCTTATATATTTATATAAAGACACACACACACACACATACACACACACACACACACACAATCTTTTGGTTCTGTTTCTTCACTGAGAATCTTCGCCAACAGAACGGCAATCAGTCAGGCTGAAAATGCAGAATTCCTCCACCCCTGCACTGGCTTTCCATCCCTGGGAAATGTGGGTACCTGCCAAACACAGCACACCCCTCTACACATTGGACCCCCTTTTGCCGGAAACCCTGGCTGCGTCACTGTCTCTTTGATGTTTTCTTCCCCACACAGGTAGTACTTTTGGGTATCACATACACACTCAGAGATCAGAGCTTTTTAAATCCTCTCTGCACCTTACAACCAGCCTGTCCCTCCTTCCACAGAGGAGGAAACTGAGGTTCTGAACCTGACACCCACCTTGCATCCCTCTAATCGCCTCTCTTTCCACTGCCCAGCCACCCTGACCTACTGTTCCTCAAACTCACTGCACACAGGACCCGAGGGTCTTCCCCCACTCTTTCTGCCGCTCTAGAGTCTTCCCTCCTGGGGTCTCCAATTCAGTCAGCACGTCACCAAGGCCCTCCTTGACGGGCAGGATCTCTCCCTTGCCTTCCAATGCCCTGTTTTACTCTCCTTTGCCGCACGCACGTCCTGGCTCCTGGCACAATACACATTTATCTGCTGCTGTCTGAGTTCCTGAGTCAGACATTGGTCTACGAGGTTCACTCCCAGTGCCTAGCACAGAGCTTGGCACATAGAGGGGACTCAGTACCTGCCTCTGGAAGGAGAGGGTAGGACGATTCCTAACCGCAGGGGCGCACACGCAGGACTTTGAATTCTCACTCTTCCTCATGCCCTGCACTCCTTCCCTATCTCCAGATTCAGCCCTGGGTCATGATTCCTACACTAGTCTCCCACTTCTCTGCAAGTGCTTCCTGTGCTTTGAATGTGTCTGCTGTAGCTCAGTGGGGGCTGGGGAGGGCACAGAGAGTGTCCTAATTTCATCGTCGTTAGAAAATTCTGATAGAGGGAATGGGCAAAGATGGGGCATGCCAGGGGCTCAGGGGGGAGACACTGGACTGGGAGAGCTGGACTGGGCGGTGACTGGATGGGTGGGGCAGGGCTGCACGCTTCTGCGGTTTGTCTGCCTCCAAGATCCCTGCAAGGAGATTCTGGTTTCCTGCCACTCAGCCCTCTAAGACCAAGCCTGGGCTGAATGTAGGAACTGGAGCTCCCGAATGCTTAACTTTGTGTGGAGATGAAAGTCTTCCCTATTTGCTGGAACCCAAGGAAGCACCCAAATAACAACTGGGTGGCAGTGCCTTCCCCTTGTCTGGACCACCTTGTCCATGAGCCGCGAGGACATGGCAGTGGAGCTGTGTGCACACTCCAGGGCCAACATCGGAGACCCCTGGCATCCAGACCAGACACCCTGTTCTGCCTTCTGCCCCGGACGAGGGCTGGGCGCCTCCCCCCCCCCCATCCCAGCAAGGCCATCATTTGCCCACAGCCTTAGAGGGGTTCTCTTCCTCTATTAAACGGGTATAGTAGAGACCACCTCACAAGGCTGCGGTCATGGCTACGGAACTAAACACCATGCGAAGTAGATCTTGCATCTCTATTCCCCCTGAACTTTCCAGCTGACATAGACTCCTCCTTTGGACGTTACCGAAACCTCAGCCTACACTTTTCTAATATATATGACATTGTCTGCGGTGGCTGCTAGACTGATTGCTTCTGGTCTTTGAGAGCTGGTTTTCCACCTTATTTTGAATCTTCCATTACACGAATCCAAGCCTTTTAGGAAAGATGGTACTAGAGGGGAAAAGGCTGGAGGAGTTGGGAAGACTTAGCAGTGTGGGAGCAGAGAGGGGGCTGGGCATGGAGAAGCAGAGATCAGCTTCTGGGGGAGATGGGAGGCTGGGTCTTTCTTAGAGGCGACACCACCCAACGTTATTCTTGCAGCACATGTCCACTGAGTGGGGAATTTAGAGGGGCGGATTCAAGTTCCAGATGTTGGCAGGTTAAATGACTTTCGGGTGTCTGGTTCAGGTCCCTAACTTCTGAAGGTGATTCTTGCAGGCTGGTTGGGCTCTGCAGTTGTGAGGCCGACCCCGGACGCTGCTGGGGATACAACTCTAAACCAGGGATGTTTGGATATGATGCTCTCCCCACCTCAGCCCAGGGCTCTGGCCCTCCAGGGCGATTTTGTTTATTGATCTGTATTTAGTAGAGAAGGAAAAAGGCTCAGTCACACTTCTAGCCTCTCTCTACCCTTTTATGCCGGGACCCCAGCTGAGAGGAGCCAGCAGCCTCTGGCTGGCTAAGGGGCTCAGCCCTCACAGTTAATTGCTCATTAAGGAGCATTAATGAGCTTTCCTAATCCCCATTCCTGCCGAGAGCCGTGATGTTTCCCTACTTTCTTCAGCTGTCCTTGCGAAGTGCAGGTTTCTCTCTTCCAGCCCAGCCCTTCTCTGCTCTAACCCTTGTGGTCGAGTCTGGGACAGGTCCCCTGGGTGTGCCTCTGGGTCGGGCTTAGCCAGCAGGTTTGGAGTCCTTCGCCTCCCTGGAGTGACCCCTTGCCCATGGCCACCATCCCCCACCTCCGCCCCACTTGCCCCAACACTTACAGCTTCTCCAGCAGGGACAGTCCCAAGAAGGACCCATTCCGGAGCCCAGTGATCTTATTGTTGCTTAAGAGCCTGAAGGAACAAAGAACAGACAGGAGAACACGCTGTTACAAACTGGAAAGTACAGATGGAAGAGGCTCTGTCTGACCTCAGGGCCATGCTGTGTTTTGTATAAATATCACCCCTGAAGTTGTGCAAGGCAGCGGCACCACCTTGTGCTCCAGATTAGAGGCAGGAGCCAATGAATGGTGTAGGCAGAATTTTGAGACCTAGTCAGATATGTCACCAGCACTCCCGGGTCTTTCTGACTTCAGCTCTCTGTGCTGGTGGGCTGAGCAGGTTAACACTGCAGAGTCCCTTTTACACCTTGGAACCTGGAACTGAGCCCACAGCGGTCCCTTCTTGCCCTCCTTAGCCCTGTCTTGCACAAGCCCTCAGCGCAAAACCCTGAGGGTAGTTCTGGCAAGATGGCCTGAACTGGGTCAGGGCGCAGCTGGGGTAGCAGGAAGCCTAGCAGGGTCGCAAGTGTCCTTCTGCAAGCAAAGGACCTCAGTGAAAGTGACTTCACCCAGCAAAGGCGCCCATCACCCCGAGGTCCCGCCTTCCCAAGCCTGTCAGCAGCCTTGACAGAAAACCGATAAAGCTCTGGGCCTGGGGAAACCCAGGCCTCTCAGTCTTTGCTTCTGCTCCCTTGGAGTTCTGTTTATTTATAAGTTTGTGTTTAGGGGAGGAGGAAGAGGCCCAAGCTGGCTGAACCCACTCCGCCCACCCACTCAGCCTTTCTCTGCCAGGCTCCCCAAAGGAGGAGGGAGTTCTACCCCATCAACAGGCTCATTCCTTAACTTAATTGTCGGTTAAAAATCTTCAGTGAGCCTCAGTCCAACTCTTGCCTGCTTGGGTTAAGGCAAAGGATTTCCCCTCTTTATTCTTAGTGATGAACCTGGGAAGGCTTAAGGTGTAGGCCTTAAGGATTTTCTCAAGTGCCCAGCCTCTGGGAGGGACAGATAGGGAGGATGGACAGGGCAAGAAGGGCTGGCACAGGGCAAGAGGGATCTGCCCCAAAACTTACTGGCAGTGGGTGGTTGATACACTAAGATGGGTGGTTAAGGGGACCTCAGGCAGCTGACAGTCTCCTTACTCCATCTTGAAAAGTCTCATGAAAACAGTGGCCAGGATGGATGGTAGAGAGGAAGGGGCTTTCAGAGTAGCTGGGAAGGGGTGGGGAATGCATCTTTCCCAGGGATTTCCCCTTTCCTGGTTTTGAAGGAGGGAGGGGAACGGTTGGGGATGCTGAAGGGAGTGAGGCACAGGGAGAGATGGGGTTCAGAGGGTTAGAGGAAAAGGGCGAGTTTAGTACAACTTGGTCCATGAAGGGGAGGTCTGGAACATTAGTTTTTAAACTTGAGCATGGAGTTGTTCAAAAGTATGGCCCAGGAATGTGAGAGAATTCCAGATTGAGAAACTCTGACTGCCTCCACTTCTTTTTTTTTTTATTGGGGTGATCTTGGTTTTGAACACTGTGACTGTCTATGTTTTAGGACTACAGGTTTACACCCCTATAAATGTGTGTAATCACCCTAATAATCCTCCTCCTTTGCTCGTTGTTCCCTTCCCTTCTGCCCCTCTGGTAACCTCAGTTCTGAAATCAGAATCTAGGGGGTTTGTTTTTGTTTTGTTTTGTCTGTTTGTCTTGGAGAAACCAACTTTAGAAATGAAAGTCTTACACTATGAAAATGCCTTTTAATAAATTATGATCTCAAAATTATCCACAAGATTATCTTTAGATATCACTGAATGGAAAGGAAAAAATTAAAAATGACCCCCAAATCCCTGAGATGAAAACCCAGGACTCTAATCTGAGAACACTGTCCAGGCAGGAGCAGAAGTGGTATTGGGAGTATCCCTCATTATCCAGACTCTATGACTCTAACCCTTTCATGCCTTTCACATATCCCAAAACTTTCTCATATCCCAAAAGAAATACAATGCAAGTCACACACACAATTTAAAATGTTCTACCTACCAGGGTTTACCAGAAGGGGAGGGGATGGAGGTAGACAGTTAGGGCTGCATGCTGTAGGGTGGAAACTAGACCTCTGGTTGCTGTCCTAACCCAGTATATGCAGCTAGTGGTTGTCATAACCTAGTCTATACAGATTATTTATTTAAAATGTTATAACCTGAAACCTACATATAACATAATAAACTAATGTTACTTCAATAACATTTATTAATACATAAAATGTCCTAGTAGCCAGATTAAATTCTCCTAAATTAATTCTAATATATTTTATCTAACCCATTGTATCCAGAGTGGTATCATTTAACATGTAACCAAAACGCAAAGTTATTAATGAGATATTGAGATAGTTCCCCTCTTTCAGTCTTATTTTTTTGTGTGGGGGCAGACACTACATTTTCATACCAAAGACTTTGATTCTGGTGTGTGGATGCTGTACTCTCCAGCACCTCTCAGTTCAGAGTAGCCGCTACAAGTGCTCATGGCTCATGAGTTTACCCTTATCTAGTCTCCTTGTCAGCGACTTCCCAGGAGGAATTTTGGGCTGACTGAAAGATACTGAAGAACTGGGACAGTGAGCATGCGTGCATGCATGTGTGCGTGCGTGCGTGTGTGTGCATGTGTGTGTGTGTGCACGCTCCCCCTCGTGCACTCTGGAACTGGCCCCTGAGGCAGGTCAGGACAAGCCTCTGGCCCCAACAACTTATCTCTTGCTGTCTCACCCCTCACCACCTTGAATCTGGAGCCCCGCAGGCCAGACCCCTCTCTCTGGACCCCCCTCTCTCTCTTGCGCAGGATTGTAGAGGGCAGAATGCGGAGGGTGTCAGCTAGCTTCCGGCTTGGCTACCTCTGTGCAAACTGCAGCCCTGAAAATCTTGAAATGAGTTTTTCTTGTGGCAGACAGCATGTCTCTGACCCCCCCCAACCTCAACCCACTCACAAAAGCAGGGACACTGAGCAAACAGCTCTTCATTCCCTGTCCCTATGAGCTCCCTTCTTGCTGTGTTTCCAGTTCTTGGACACACTTCAGGTGAATATCTCTAGGATGCAAGCCCCCAAACGCCTAGATGTGGCTCTCTGGGCCTGAACAACCTAGCTAGGTCTGAGGAGATATGCTTTAGACCTGGACTAGCCAGGAATGGCCTCCATTGTTCTTGGTGCCCTTTGTGAGTTTGGCTGGGAGGGGAGTGATTTGGGTCAGAAAGTACTTGTTTCTGGCCTTGTAATGAGCAGGTAGGAAGCTGGTAGTTACAGGGCTGCTAATGGGGTAGATGAAAACACACCACAGCCTCATCCAATGGAAAGAAAAATGTCCCCACCACACTAGGCTCTCCTGGGAGGAAAATGGGCAGGCAGGCCCCGTCAGCCAAGCAGGGAAGGAGGGAGCCTTGGCCCCATGCTTCTCCCAAGCCCCAGAGACGCAGCGCCAGTCTTAGCCCTCTTTAAACCCAGACAGACACTTCCTCAGCCCTGCAACCACACAGGGAGCCAGCCAGGTGGGTTCTGTTCCAACCACACTAACCCACCCCACTGGGCTCTGGTTCACCCAGCCAGCAACTTCAGTGTCCTTCTTTCCCACATTTCCCTCCCTCTTACCACCCTAAAATCAAATTCTCACAGAAAGGGGGAGCAGCCCCTAGAGTCCCCTGTTTTCTACTCCAGCATCTGAAATCTGGTCAAGGAGAGTCCATTCCAGAATTCTCTCCAGCTAGGGTCCTATTTTAGGGAGGAGAAGCCAGCACAGTTACCACTTAGAAGGCTGGGAGGGAAGGGAGTGAGTGGCTGGCAGCTATGGAGAGGCCCTGTGGCCTTGGGGCAGCCACAGGAACTCACCAGATCCCAGACCGACATCAAAGATGACCCCAAAGGGGTCATGTGGGCACCATTCCATGGGCACAGGGCCAGCAGTTGCCAGAACCAAATAGTCCTCACATGTGGAAGAAGAGTCATGTATGTCAGCTCTGCACAGATGCAAGGACCTTATGCCTGGGGATCTATGAGGTCTCTCCAGAGAGTCTGAGCTTAGAATCCAGGCCCCCCTGCCTAGGAGGATCTGTCTCCAACATGGCTGCTAACATCTTGGTAGTATCTTAGATCATAGGTGAGGTCTGCTGACTGACACCAATAAGCTCTCAGGCCCATAGTCCATTGGAACCATAAGGTACAATTGGACTTGCAGCCTGTCCTGCAGACACAGGGCCTCTGTATAGTCACAGGGCCCACAAACTCTCTGAAACCTACAAATAAATAATCATTGCCTCAGACATAAATGGTATAAGACTGAAATTAACAAATGCTTAAGTAAATATCAGATGCCATCCTATGTCAATCAGCAACCATTATTATGCTTCATGAAGGACATAGGTGATATGGTTTGGTTGATGGGCCTTCTGGATCACAGGCCCTGCTTTGACACACTTCTCTCGCCTTTGATGTCCCGTTAGCCTTGTTACTGGGGACATAAATGTAGGAGGAGATACGCAAAGTTGTTGCCCCACTGCACTGTGGTCTCCTCCCCTGACTGGAAGCTTGTCTAGTCAGTCCGGAACACCTACTGGTAAACAGAAAGAGGACCAGGTACATCTCGCTGTTCTCCCCTGTTCCTCAGGTTTTGGAGGGCCGTGTCCTGAGAACTATGAGGCGGACTGTCCACGCAGGGATGAGATAAAGGCCAAGAGAGAAAATATTCTGAGAGGGTCTCACATATGGCCTTCTTTTCTCCTTCTTCTCTACAAGGGTACCCTGTCTTGGTGAAGAGGCAGAACCAGAAATTAGAACTGGGATGGGAAACACTGACCTTGAAGAAGTTTACAGCTTTGGGACTAAATCTGGAAGCAAAGCCTGAGAAAAGGAGATACAGATGTTTGTGGTGAGCAGTTAATATTCTCATGGGGGCTTTGGTACCCCAGCACCCCATGAACACATGGAAATAGAGCATCCATGACCAGGCACACTGGGAATTCATTGCTTCATTCTTCAAACCTATACCAAACACTTCTCACGTCAGCCTTGTGTAACACTTGATCTGTACCAGCATAAATGAGACATTGGG